CAGTGGCAGCAAGCAAGGAAGGAAATCCTACAGTGGCACCTAAAATCTGTTCCCTCATTTTTGTTAGCTGTAAATCAAGCTAAGTTTTATTCAGAGGAGGATTGAGAGAGGGGACTGTAGGGCTTACATAAAAATGTAAGCAGTTCAGATGAATTATCAAACTAAGCTGCAAAGTCAGGCTTGGTTTTAAATTTTAAAAAAGTCCATTTTTTTAACTTGAAGGATTAAAATAATTAAAACCCCTGAATTTATTTATCTTTAAAGCACACACATTTCATTTAATAGCTTTGGAGAGATTAAAAGCATAGATACTGCCAGTTGTAAATTTTAAATAGAAAGATTAAAAAGTCCAATGACAATATCTTTTAAGTATTTTTCCCTGTGTAAATTTTTTTAAAGTGAAATTTGTTTACAATGATTTTTGTGTGTCACTATTGTACAGTTAGCAAAGAAATGCTTCTCATATATCTTCTGTTTTAAATCACATATATTACTTGGATTAAATCCAGAAAGCAGCATAATATTTTTTCCCCCCCAGTGAGATATTGGACTAATCCTATTTTGTAGAAAATTGCTCTAGGGATCTCATATCAGGAAATAATTGTGATTTGCCAGAGATTATTTTAGTAAACCAAAGTTATCTGCAGCAGATTACTTCTGGGTGACATATTAAAATGAACCAAATGATTGCAGAGCAGTATCCAGAGCTGCTGCTTGTCCAGATGGCCAGTGACCGGCCTACCTCCGGTAGCAATCAGGACTGATGTGGGAAGATGAATGAAGCTGCCTGCACCTGGAGGTTAAAAAAAGGAATTGAACTGATGGGTGCTACAGGAACAATTGTAGTACTAAGGACTTCTAAACCTTTGCTGCCATTACATTGTTGGATACTAGAAAAGCTCGCTTTTGACCCATTTCAAATAAGCATGTTTTACAAAATGAAATGTAGACTGTTCTAGTTGTGTGTTTTTTTTTTCCTTTGAAAGCAAATTGTTTTTTGTTTAATAGCTGCAGAAAACAAGTGTTAAAAATTGTTGACCTACAAAGCAGCCTTGTTGTGGAGAACAGCCTGTCTTCTCCCCCCACATAAGACTAGATAAAATGCCTTTTAAGCCAGCAGAGGCCTTTTGCTGATTATACCCAGCAGACAGACAAAAACAAGCCTGTCTGTTCAAGGACAGAGAAGCAAAGCAAGTGATTGTTTTTTCATTTGTTCTCTTGCTTTCAGATGACACCGGTTTAAACATCCTGGACTATCTACTTGGTCTCTTTTCGTCAAGACCTTCTGACTTCCCATACCTTAATCCAAACATACAAGATGATGATGGAAATACAGTGATGCATGTTATTTTTCAGAAAGGATTATCAAAACATACTAAGAGAATAATGGAGTCACTGGCAAAATTTGATGTTAACTTTAACATAAAAAACAAATTAGGAAGAGATGTAAGGTATAGAATTAAAAAAAAAGACCCACTGCTGCTTGCTTGGAATAATGCACTGGGGAAAAGGAGACACCGGCAGGATGTAGCAGGGCAGTCAGTTAAAACATCTAAACACACTTCAGCTTCTGAGATTTCACAGCCAAAGAGCACGGGACATTCTTCATCTGGGTCCTCATTAAAGGCACCATCTGGCAACACAGTGCATAATGATTTAAAACCCCCATGTTCTCTAAGGACAAAAAAAGCTCATCTGGGGAAGCAGGAAACAGAAGGAGTAAATAGGCCTTTAACACTGCAGGAAAGTCTAGTGAAAGCAATCACAGCTTTAATTCAGCAACTGAAATTGACTGACACCCTAAGAAAGGATCACCCCCTGGTACAAAAGCCATCTTCAGCTCAAAATAATGTGGAAGAAGGAAGAAGTGAGTCCTTGCAACCTTGTGGAAGCATAGCTTATCCTGAAGGAAAAGGGGATGATTGGGAGAGAGAGAAGGAGGCACAGAAGTTTAGTATGGCCCCGCCTAATGGAGAGAAGGAAGAACCAGAGGAAGAGAAGGTGAAGATTCAGGATATTGAGGCATATGTGCAGGAGTTTGATAACATGACCTGGGAAATCGAGTGCACTCCTGAAATGCTGAAGACATTGGGCAGCAAAGCTGTGCCACATTATCTGAAAACTAAAACTATAATGGCAATTAAGCGGCTTGGCAATGGGGAATGGACCAAAGGCCTTCAGAAGCCACTGAAACACTTGAATACTGATATCCAGCTGTATGAATCCAAGTTGGACAAAGGTGCAAGAATGCTATGGGAACTTGCAATTGACTTTTCTCCTCGTTGCAGTGAGAGTGCAGAAAAGATAATGGAGACAGAACAGACAAAAAGTCTTCCAGAAAAATCGGGTAGAGTTTACACAGAAATAATCAGAATTTGGGCCATTGTTCTTGACCACTGTAAGCTGAACCGTGTCCTAGAAAATATATGTATTTCCTACAAACGTGGTTTATCCTGCATCTTGAGGAAAAAGCTGAAGGGCATAAATGAAGGACAGCAGAACCATAACGTGACAACACAGAAACGTGTTCCACGTTGTTATGTTGAAGACTCGGAGGCAGAAAAGACAAAAGAACGTACCACACCTGAGTATTGCCCTCCAGCTAGTGCAGCAGAATTGGAATACAATATAATGAAATTTCACAGCTTCAGTACTAACATGGCACTTAACATTATAAATGATGTACATTCTTCTGTTGAATACCCTTTCCGAGTTGGGGAGTTGGAGTATGCAGTAATTGATCTCAACCCAAAGCCCATGGAACCAATCATTTTAATTGGGCGGAGCGGGACAGGGAAAACGACTTGCTGCTTGTATAGGCTTTGGAAGAAATTCTATTCATACTGGGAAAAATCCACCCTGGCAAATGGTCCTCTGCTGGAGAGACAAACATGGCAGCAAAGACAGTGTAGTGAGGCTGAAAAAGCTAGGCTGGAGAAAGAGAAGAGTGAACTAAAACGAGACAGTGATGATTCGAGTGAGGAGCAGGTGAGCGATGAGCAAGATGATGACAGTGAGGATGAAAAGGTTTCTGCAGGTCCAGCTGCTGTGGAAACTACTTCATGTGATGACTGTGAAGATGACCAAATGCATAGCCCAGAAGCATCTAACAGGCTGGAGCACCTGCACCAGATATTTGTGACAAAAAATCCTGTCTTGTGCCAAGAAGTTCAGAAGAATTTCATTGAACTAAGCAAGTCTTCTAAGATAACCAGTCACTTTAGGTCTCTGGAACCAAATGTTCACAAGCTACAAGATGTTAAGGATGAGAATTTTCCGCTGTTTGTCACTTCCAAGCAGTTGTTGCTGTTACTGGATGCATCCATGCCTGACCCATTTTTTCCAAGAAATGAAGATGGAAGCCTTAAAAGAACCATTGTTGGTTGGAGTCCTCAGGAAGACTTGGTGGTACCAAACTGGCAAGATGAGGATGAAGAAGGTAACATTGAAGCAGAACACGGCGATGATGAAGGAGCTGCAGATGCATACTCTAAGGAAAGTGATCCACGGATTTTTGTGACTTATGATGTATTTGCAAATGAAATATGGCCAAGAATGATAAAAGGCAAAAGCTCTTATAAACCAGCACTGGTTTGGAAAGAAATAAAATCATTTCTGAAAGGCTCTTTCGAGGCACTGAATTGCTCTGGGGGTAAACTTACTGAGGAGCAGTACAAAAAGCTAGGCCGAAAGAGATCACCGAACTTCACAGAAGACAGGAGTGAAATCTATCACCTCTTTTGTCTTTATCAGCAGATACGATCACAGAGAGGTTACTTTGATGAAGAAGATTTGCTGTATAATTTATCTCAAAGGCTCTCAAAGCTTAAGGAGCTGCCGTGGTCCATCCATGAGTTTTATGGTGATGAGATCCAGGATTTCACCCAGGCTGAGCTAGCACTGTTAATGAAATGCATTAATGACCCTAATGCCATGTTTCTAACTGGTGACACTGCCCAGAGCATAATGAAGGGAGTTGCTTTTCGTTTTAGTGACCTGAGATCACTGTTTCATTATGCAAGCAAGAACTCCATGAACAAGAAGCAGCGTGTTAGAAAACCAAAAAGGATATATCAGTTGTACCAGAACTACAGGTCCCATTCAGGTAGAGTGACAAATTTATTTATGATCTGATGTCACTAACAATTGAAGTTCTTTACTGTTCAATTCAAAGCATCTTTAAGCAGCCTGTTTTTTTAAAAGATCAGCTGGTCAGCTTTTTTCTGACATGCAAATTCTGTATTTTGACATCTCAACTGGAGAACTAAGAATGAAAGTTTTTTAAATTGTCATTTTTGAACACTCATGATTACTGCATGTTTTGACTGTTTGAAGAAAAACTTAACAAATAATCATACCCGTTTCTGTTGTCCCATCCCCAAACTGCTAGACTTTGCAGGATTGGTTTGCTACTTCTGCTTTTCATAGTTCTTTCTCATTTAGGACCTTTTTTTATGTGTAGTCTGCCAAGCCTCTGTAGCATGCTTTCTTCTGGTCTTTACAGGCCCAAGCATGAGTCCACTCAAAACATAACAGGAACATAAAGTATACCTTGCAGCTGCTCTTTTCTCTGACTAGGGCTTTTTGTCATGATATCTTTTAATTTGGGAATTCTAAAAAAACTCCTGTGAAAGTGTGTTTGTGAGAGGGTACTAGACAGTCAGACTGCAGTTTAAAACTGTATTTGGCTTTTTGCAGGTATTCTCTCTTTAGCATCTGGAGTGGTTGATTTGCTACAGCATTATTTCCCAGAATCTTTTGATCGTCTTCCTAAGGACCGTGGGCTCTTTGATGGGCCAAAACCAACAGTCTTGGAGTCCTGCAGCATTAGTGACTTAGCAATTCTGCTGAGAGGCAACAGAAGGAAAACACAACCCATTGAATTTGGAGCACATCAGGTTTGCTTTCCCTTAGGTATATGTGTTTTGAAGAGTCTGCTAGCTCTTTTGCTAAATTATCATTTTATATGGACTGCCCACAACTTTCTTTATTAAGCCTTTGTATCTCACTGATAAATTATGCTTCTTAAACTTAGACACTTTGTGTTGGTTTCCATTTCTTCCTAATACATGTCTAGCTCTCTGTGCTTTTTTGCTTCACATGTTGCCTGTCTTGTTCCTTTCTAACTCCCAAGTTTTTTTACACCAGATCTACAACTGTCTGCACATGCCACACATTTGTCAGTCTTCTAGTGGCAGCTTTGTGACCTTTTTTGTGGACTTTACTGGTTGTCTGTATTAAATGTTGACTGGTTTTGAGAAGGCTCTAGTGTTGCCATGACATGTTTGTGTGCTTTCTCTATGCAGCTGTTACTTTTTTTGTTGTTGTTCTTACTAATAATGTATTTTATGACAGGTGGTATTAGTGGCAAATGAAACTTCCAAGGAGAAGTTACCCGAGGAACTCAGTTTAGCACTTGTACTGACAATTTATGAAGCAAAAGGCTTGGAATTTGATGATGTTCTCCTTTACAACTTCTTCACAGACTCAGAGGTATTTAATTCTTAGCCATTTTCTGCATTTTTTTCTTCAGCTGATTTTACTACTCTGCTAGCTTACAGTATGTTCCTCCTGGCTGTTCCCTGTTTAGGTCAGAGTAGTTGGTGGGGAGACATGCCATCACTCATATTCCTTACCTTATACTGGGATTCCAGGTCCCAGAGAAGCACCTTAGACACCCTGCTTTGCAGCAAGACTCTGTTCACAGCACAGCTTTTTTGGTCTGCTAGTTCATGGGCTGGAAAAAATTTGCCAGCTCCAGACAAAATTAAGCAGAATGATGTTGCATTTTTATTTGGGGGTATTTTTTTTTTTTTAAATTAAGAGCTTAGTAGAACAATTATGTTTAGAATAAAGAGTTTGTTTGTGTCTGGGGGCAAGGGTGGGGAACCTGCTCTGTAGCCATCCACAGTTCAGCTCCAGAAAACTCATTCTGGTCTAGTTCAGGAGTTGTCAGGCAACTTGGGAAAGTCTCACAGTTTGTAGTGGAGACCATCACCCATAGAATGGTATTGGATAAAGAAGACTTTGTTGTTTTGTATTTCTTACATACTCCCTTTTCCCCCTTGGTGGTTCTCTGGGGAGGTCAGACCCTGTCTCTCCAGGGTTTCCTGTAACTGCAGACCTGGCAGGGGTGTGATTCTTGAGACTCCTTGTAAAGAGTGGTTGACCACAGCAGCCTTGTTGCTGAAGCATCAGGGAACCATCCCTTCCCACCCCCTCAACCAGAGAGTAGGCAGCATCCTTACTGAACATGCCTGCAGAGACTCAAGAATGCCCACGACTGAGCTGCTCTGCAATTAAACATTCAGTGTGAACATCTCTGTTGCAGATCTCCTCTGCTTCTAGCCCTCAAAATGGTGTCTCAGATGTGGTTTTCATATGCTGAGAACCACAAATGTGTTGAAGGAAAACTGAGGTCTTAAACTAGAGCATGGTAGATTTAGATTAGACATTAGGAAGAAGTTCTTTACTAAGAAGGTGGTGAAACACTGGAACATGTTGCCCAGAGATGTAGTGGAGGCCCTATCTCTGGGGACATTCAAGGTCAAGCTTGATGGGGCTCTGAGCAACCTGGTCTAGTTAGAGGTCCTTGCTTACTGCAGGTGGCTTGGACTAGATGACCTTTAAAGGTCCCTTGCAAGCCAATGTATTCTGTGATTCTGTGAGTTCAGTTTACTTGATGAAAAATTGGTGGTCATTCTTGACATTATTCCCTGAGATAATACTGGTTTTCTCACCCATCTTGTCTGAGCCTTCTTCAGTTGTGGGTGTCTTGGTTGATCACAACATATGACCTTTATTTTTTGCATATATGTGCAGCAGCAGTTGATGCATATAATTAAACCTCATTCTCCTGACATTTTAGGCTAGCAAAGAATGGAAGATAATTTCTTCTTATACTCCTGATTCAGATGTTCAAGTAGGAAGCAAAGTGTTAATTGAAATGCCTTTAGAGGATGCTACTGGTATGCAGAAGAGAGCTCCTTTCAATTTGGAAATGTACAAGGTGAGTTTTTTGTAACACTGGGAATAGGAAGGATAAACTAAAATCTTAGAAGCAGGGAAATTTATTCAAGATATACTTAAAGTTTACACATTTGTGTAATATAACCAGTTTTTTTGAAAGATAGAGGTATTTTGCTAAAGTAATTTGATAAGAGAACAAAAACTACATGTGATAGACTTTTAGGTGTATTAACAGAACAGCTGTGGTTAAAATAAATAGTAAATCAGCTTGTTAATATTTATTATTACTTTAGTCTCAGCACTATCAGTATCACTACCTTCAAATTAAGGAAACTTCTAAGAATCTAGTCAGATAATTTAAAGATTGTATGGCAAAAAATGAATAATTGTATGCGCAAGTATTAGAAGGAAAATGGACTGTCATACCTCCCACTGCTAGATTTGCTGTAGCACTAGTTGCATGCAAATTAGCTGTACAAAGACTTCTGTGAATGCAAAATCACATATTTAATATTTTGACCTGCTTACTGAAAGATACTTTCTTATTTGTTATAAATTTTGTGTGTATTTGCTGTTTTCTTATAACTGTAGAGTTTATTTCTAACAGTTTAGCCCCTCTGGCATTTAATTTAATTTTATTTTGGTGTGTTGGTGTATTGTTTTTTTTTTTCTTTTGCTTCAGATGCTGAATGGAGAACTGAAGCAATTGTATACTGCCATTACAAGAGCCAGGGTCAACCTGTGGATCTTTGATGAAGACAGTGATAAAAGGGCTCCAGCTTTCACGTATTTCATCAAAAGAGGATTGGTTGAAGTTGTCAAAGCAGATGAAAAGCAAGGTTAAGTTATCCTTAAATTTTCTTGAAAGACTGTCATACAGGACAGCATACTCATGCTTTCTTGCTTTTAGGCTGTAATAAAGAAGGTTAAATTCCTTGGTCTCTGTAACAGAGTGCAATGATAACTGCCCTTGTAACTTTCCCTTGATTTTATTGCCTCATTTCTTTTGGCTCTAAAGATCAGTGACACATGTTTATATATAACTTAATTGCTAATTCATTAGTATAATTTTTCCCGCACTGACTGTTCACAGAAAACCATCCCAGCTAAAAGAGATTTATAAAATAAAACAATTAGGTTCCTATAAAGACATCAGATTTACTCAAAGTTATATCCAAAAAGCAAGCACAATTTTTAGAGGTCTTTCAAAACCAAACCAAACGTGTTGATTTTCAGTGCTGATTGAGAGGGATAAAATGTTTTTGACTCAGAATTACCATTACTGGTGTGAGCACAAATCATTAAATGCTTGGAACATCATGAGATATTAATGCTTAGTTTTGGTTCCTCAGTGTTTTCTGTGGTTTATCCATTCTAACACAAAATTATTGTGCCTGACCTTGTAGACCTAGATGACAGCATGTTTGCTAAGACGTCGACTCCAGAAGAATGGATTGCACAGGGAGACTACTATGCTAAACATCAGTTTTGGGAGGTAGGAGCATGTATTTATCTGAAATAAGGATTCTTGTTTATTCCAAAACATTTTTATTTATTTTTTGCATCTAAGAGATTATCTGTAAGCTTCAGTTGCTCTGTAGCAGTGTATTTTAGTTTGTGATTTGTAGTTTTGTGTCTGCAGACTGTTTGTAAACAACTTGCAAGATGTAAGCAGAGAGATTGAGCCTTTTGTCTGTAATTCACTGCTCAGAAGTTTGCAGTCCAATGAGGCAAAAACATTTTAATGCACATGAAAGGTGGCTGGAAAAGGCAATTATTATCAACAACTGGAATTGACTCGAATTTGTGAAACTGAACCATGTGCTTGACAGTATCATTACACATTACTGTAGGAAAATGAAAACATTTCTTGGAAGTTTACTGATTTGGGTGATGATCTCATATCTTTTATGTTTTTTTGAACAGTAATGAGGGATGGATACAAAAATCAGCATGTGAAGAACCAAGGGAACACTAAGAAAACTACAGAAACAGTAGCAAAATGATAGGTTCATTCCCTTACTATTTAAAGAGCATGAAGATTTTACAGTATTTTATTTCCTGAAGTGAATACAATCCAGATATGGGTTGACAGTTAATGGAATGGAAGCAAAACCCAGCCAGGATGACACCAATGAATTATTCTACAAGGACTTGAGGGGTATCTTTAGATCAAATGCTCTTGTCCTTAGGGGTGGTTTTAGCTTCCCAGATGTCAGTTGGGAATATCATACAGTGGACACAAACAGGTCCAGGGTATTTCTGGATCACACTGAAGTTAACTTCTTGGTGCAGGTACTAAGGGACCCAACTAGGAAAGGTGCCCTCCTAGTTTTGTTGTTTGTATGAAAAGAGGGACTTGTGGATGAAGTGCGATTAGTGGCTCAATCACAATGACCACAAAGTAGTTGAGTTACAAATTATTGACAATAGGAGAAAAAATGCCAGCAAATCTTAGTCCTTGGATATGGGGAGAGTATGAGTCAACAGTATGTCTTGGCAGTATAACGGGCCAACCATGTCCTGGGCTGCATCAAGCACACCATAGCTAGTTGGTTGAGGGAGGTGATTGTCCCACTCTACACTGTGGTGGTGTGGCCCCACCTCAAGTACTGTGTTGCAGTTTTGGGTGCCTCAGTGTAAGGACAGCAGACTATTAGAGTGTGTCCAGAGAAAGGTGACCAGGATGTTGAACTATGTCGAGAGCAAGACGTAAGTGGAAGACTTGAGGTCACTTGGCTTGTGCAGCTTGGAGAAGAGAAGACTGAGGGGTGACTGTATTGCAGTCCACCAGCTTCCTCAAGGAGGGCAGCAGGAGGTGCTGACCTGCGATAGGATACAAGGAAAGGGAATGAAGTTGCCTCAGGGGAAGTTCAGATTGAACATTAGGAAAAGGCTCTTCACTAAGATAGTGATTGGCCACTGGAACAGGCTTCCCAGGGAAGTGATCACAGCACTGAGCCTGTCTGGATGACACTCTTAGCCATATGGTTTAATTTTAGGGTCTTCCCTTCCAACTTCAGATATTCTGCTTCTGTGAAATAAGATTTTTGGCAGAAGAAAAACTTCCATTTTTTGCTAATAGCATTGTACAGTTTTTGTATGAAATAATAGTGTTCCAGAATGAGCGAGGTGATAATGAAGCACACCTGGCTAGGAGCATAGTGACTCCCACTGTTCCACTGTAGTTTATTGCAGAAAGATTTTTCACAGTTTATCACAGTAAAAGCATGAATAAATGTTCTATGTTTTTCAATGTAGCCTTGCACATATTGGTTTTCCCAGCTTTTATTCTTAGAATGTGTGTGGTAGATGCCTGGTGACTTGCCAGTTAATGGTTTAGGCCATCATGCAAATTGCATGTGCAGTTCTATCAGCCTACTAGGTAATTTGCTTTTACTACTTCCATGTATAACATTGTAATTAAAATTCTAATTGTGATTGTCATGTGTGGACTGACTTTAAAGCTTTTATTTTTGTCCTAAATATATACTGCAATGTTTAACATTTTCCTTCTTCTAGGCACCCTAACAGTCTTTGTTTTCCATTAAAGTGACTGTAAAACTGAGTGTTGCTTTTATGTGATAAGTCACGGGCTGGATGCACGTGTGTGAATGGTGTATGATTTCACTCCAGGTGGCAGCCAAATGTTACCAGAGGGGAGGAGCAGCTGACAAGTCAAAACTGGCCCTGGCACATGATGCTGTTCTGAAAGTGCATTCAAAGAAAAGCAGTCCCAGGTAAGTGTAAATGCAGACAAGCGAATGTCATTCTGCGGTGCCAGACCTCCCAGGCGTGTGCAGTTCCCACCACAGTTGTAGGACTGGACTGGAGACATTGGAGTACTGCATCTGGGGAAGAAGAACTCCATGTAGCACTGTAGGCTGACCTGCTGGAGAGCAGCTCTGGGCGAGAGGACCTGGGAGTCCAGTTGAACAACAGGATGATGATGAGCTAACAACGTGCCCTCTGAGTCAGGAGGGCCAGTGGCATCCTGGGGTGCGTTAAGAAGAAAGAATATGGCCAGCAGGTTGAGAGAGGTTATCCTCACCCCCTATTCTGCACTGGTGAGGCCACGTCTGGAGTACTGTGTCAAATTCTGGGCTCCTCAGTTCATGAAGGACAAGTAACCAGCAGAGAGAGTCTAGCACAGAGGTGCTAAGATAATCAGGGGACTGGAGCATCTACCATACGAGAAAAGGCTGAGAGACCTGGGTCTGTTTAGCCTGGAGGAGACTGTCGGTGCTTATAGGTATCTAAAGGGTAGTTATCAGGAGGATGGTACCAAACTCTTCTCAGTGGTGTCTAGTGACAGGACAAGGGGTAGTGGCCACAAACTGGAACACAGGAGGTTTAACCAAAAAATAAGGAAAAGCTTTGTTATGAAGGTAACAGAGCACTGGAACAAGCTGCGCGAAGAGGCTGTGGAGTCTCTTTCTCTGAAGACATTCAAAACCTGTCTGGACATGTTCCTGTGTGATCTACTCTAGGAGATCCTGCTTTAGCAAGGGGATTGGACTAGATGATCTTCAAAGGTTCCTTTCCAATCTCTACCATTCTGTGATTCTGTGAGAACCACGCAAGTGAGGTGCCTTCACATCTTTGTGGCTGGCAGATCCTAGCACAGCTCCAATGGGATCTGGGGCACTGCTCCCTTCAGGAAGTAGTGAATGCAACTGTATGCCCTAGCCTGTCCAAACCAAATGTGGCCCTTCAGAGGGCTTACTGGTTATGTGACAGAAAAGCAACAGGATTTGCATTACCTCAGGAGGCCTTATATTCTACGATATAGATAGAAGAGCCTATGCCACTGGCAGTGCTCAACTCCAGTTAATACCACTGCATATTCACCTGACACAGAAGGAATGGTGGTGTTCATTGGGGAAGAAGAGCTGCTAACAAAAAGTGAGCTTTGAGGTAAAATTAGTGTTAATCTAAATTAAACAAGCAAGACTAGATCTGAAACCAAGGACAGTTTTGAATGGACAGACTTTGAGATTAATGCTTTAGTTGCTGCTGTCAGGTGGGCAAAATAGCTCAGGGGTTTGACTGGTAAGAAAGTTTGCAGTTTCCTGAAGAGGCTAAAAAACTGGGACTTGTCTCAAATAAGAGAGGAAAAAACTTTATGGGGAGGACTCTAGATGTAAGTGAATTAATTCCTGTTCATGCTGGGCTGAAAGCTAGAGTGGGTAAGAAATTACTAGAGCAGAGGAAGCTAGCACTGAAGGGAAGAGAGTGAAGGTCTGGAGAAATGTTATTACTGTACTTAATAAAGGTTTTTACCTTTCTTGATAGCCTGTTTCATATTAGTGGCCCTGACTTAGAAGTATAAGGACACTCATAAAATTTCCTAATCAGAGAATTTGTTGATGGGACTGAAGAGTTTTTTCAGTTGGCTGTAAGCTGAGCTGCTCATCAACTGGATAAAGCTTGGGGAGAAATTTGGTAAATTGGGTTATGTTAAGTTGACAGAACATATGTAATAATGAAGCTGTGAAAGTGGTGAGGTTTTTAGTAGGAGTATTAATGCTGGTGTATGAATCATAAATAAGATTCCTGTGTGCTCTATAACCTGAAATGCTCTGTATGGTTCTAACCTAACTGAAAGTATTTCATCAAGTTATGTATGAAGAACACATGATGTGAGTGCTGGTAGGATTCAGTCACTGATCATGTGACCCTAAACTTAATTTGGATGCAAGCAGTAATTTTCTCTTACTTTCTACAGGGAAAAACAGATGGAATATTTGACTTTGGCTAAAACTTACTTGGAATGTGGAGAACCAAAGTTATCACTAAAATGTCTGTTTCAATCAAAGGAGTTCCGGCTTTGTGCAGAACTGTGTAAAAAGTTAGGAAAGGTACTAAATCCTTGAAACTATCATTTTTTTTCTTTTCCTACAGATATGTTTCTTCTCATGTGACTCTTAATTGTATTTTTCTGTGATGTGGTATTAGCTGAACTAAAACAGCTCTTTAAGCTGGGCAGTTCATTTGTCACAGAAGAGCCAGATGAGGAATGAAGAGAACAATGATGAAATCACATGGTCTAGGTTTATTTCTTTGGCTTTCCTCAGATGTTGCCATCAGTCATTTCTGCTTTGTAGTCTGACTACAAAGTTTGACTCACTTTATGATACTTAAGCTGTTTCTTCTTTCAATACTCTGATGCTGAAATTTCACTGATTGCAGCCATCTGAATGGAACCTTGAAACTTGCAAGGGTTGAGTATGGTACTAACAATTTTCTAAGTGTATGAGGATATTTAACATTTTAGTTTCAGTGCATTTCCACTAAAAAAAGTAAAGTGATTGTTCCCAAATACTTAAAGTTTAAGATATAATGTTACGGTTCCCATTCTGCAGCAATAACTGTTTTAATCCTGTAGATTCTGATAAATTTGCAAGTCAACAGAAGTGTGTGTGGTGTTTTTTAACAGAACCAGGTGAATAAAAAGTATTTTGGAAATCATGTATAATTTTGTAAAAATCCTCTTTGGTTTTACATTCTACTTTTTTGGACACATATTTTGAGGGTTTTAAAAAATCAGAGTTGTAATGATTGGTTTTCATATGTATTTGATTACATTCATATACTTTGCTAACATTTTGTTAGTGTGCTTCTCTGTGAGACACCTACATGATGGAATTACTAAATTTATTCTATTAATGTACTTTTGACTGTTTACAGCACTGTGGTTTCATTACTAACTTCTGCATTGCAGATGAAAGATGCTGCAGTTTACTATCAGAAAAGCCAGTGCTACAAAGAAGCATGTGAATGTTATGAAGAAATTGAGGGGTTTGATTTGGCAATTAAAATGTATTGTCAAGAACAACTCTATGAAGAAGCAGCAAAGGCAGTTGAAAGGTATGTCTTCGAAGACCATATTGGAATGTAATTCCGTTTTCCATTTCCAAATTCAACATAATACAGCTTGCTCACCATAGATCTTTTTACAAGAGTTTTGGCTGGTGACTTTGTGTTATAATTAAGTTAAATTAACTTTATTAGAATTCTCACTTGGGTAATTATTCTACTGCATTCGTAGCTGGAACAATGACTAGCTTCATTTTCCCAGGAATTTTTTCTAATCTCTGTTACTAGTCACGCAAGTCCATCTTCAGCCAGTCCTCTGAACTAGATTATCAAGGTAAATATGACAAATGCATTTAATAGAAATATTAAATACTTCTCTTTTAAGGGTGAAATTGCAATCGATTTAGACACTTCTTTTCTGTAGGAGTATAACCATTAGATGTGTGATGCATCATGCAGCAGTCATTGTGGCAAATGAACCATTTGTCTTAATATCTCCAGCTTAAGAGCAAAGAATTAATTAAGTAATGAATTAAGTAATTGTAACAACCAACTAGCTCTGCCTCTCCAACAGATTCTAGGTCCCAGTCTCTAAGATTAACTTTTCCATACCATCTCCCCTGTGCTGTCTCAGAGCATTTAAGAACTGCCTCACGCTGTGCTTGATAAACTGATTTTATTAGTATCTTTTTGACAGAACTTTGTACCTGGCACCATCCCTGTGACCTCATCCTCATATTCTTGCAAAAACAGTTCATTAATTGGCCACATCTTCCATTACATCTAAACTGATTGGCTTTTAAAGAGTATATACACCAGTGAGAATTCCTGCAAGGCCTGCAGTTACACATGTTCACTGAAATCCTTTGTGATGTATCTCTTATAATGGCAACTGCTTGTTGAAAGACTAAAACTTGTTTGATATGTAGAGATAGTTGGAGTTAAAAGTTTAAGCATTTAAGTCACCTTACCAAATAACAATTTTTTAAATCAGCCTCTCCAACTCATTCATGCAAATTCATCAGCATAGGTACAAAATTTGCACTCCCACCTTTATCATGAAAAGATTATCATAAAAGGCTAATGATAGTCTGCTCACCCATCAGGAAAAAAATTACTCATTGTCAGCATGCAGGAGAGAATACTTTTACCAGACTCACTTAGACAGTATCTTAAAAATCAGCCAATAATTAATAACTAAGACAGATGTATCACTGGCAATAGTTGGCCCTTTTGAAGGAAGGGCTTCTGGGGGCAGCTCTTTGTTTAATGTTTTGGAGGCTTTCTAAAAATGCAGTGGTTTTTGTCTAGGTTACTCATCTATGGTAGTAAATTGATGTATCTATTATTTCAGATATGAAGAGATGCTAAATGCAAAAGGGCAAATGGTTTCCAAACTGTCATGTACAGCAAATCAGCTGTATTTGGAAGCAGCTGCAAAGTACCTGAGTATGAACAGAACTGAGGAAATGATGCGAGTCCTTTCAAAACTTGATATAGAGGATCAGCTTGAGTTTCTGAAGTCCCGTGGATGTTTACACCAAACAGCAGACTTACTGAAAAGGGAAGGTCGAGAGGAAGAAGCTGCAAAATTAATGAAACAACACGGGTTTGCTCTGGAGGCAGCCAACCTCACAGCTGTAAAAGAGTTTCGCGCGTCATGTTTGCTCACTGCAGCTCGTGCCAGTGTGAATTGCTGCTCGGAATCGGACCTGGCTGCCACAGAGGTCATCCTAAGAGAAGCTCTGGAACTTTGTGAACAAACTGAGCAGAAGTCTGGCATTGCTGAGGCTGTGTTTTTGCAGGGAGTTCTGAAGGCAGACTACACAAAGCTGCGTAGTGCGTACTGCCGGTTCCTATCTCTGAATCATTCTGCTGGTGCAGTTGAAGCTCTTTTTGAATTATCTCGCTGCAGTGCTCCTAGCCAGGACATCCTCTTCATGGCAGTGCGTGGCTTAATGGCTCTTCTAAGTCTGGTCAGGAGCTTGAAGAAAGCAGCCACCAATGCTGAGAAAGATATGGTGAAGTCATGCTTTGCCTATTTTGGGATTGTCCCAACAGGTGACAGTTGCCAGGTGTCTCAAAATGAAGCTGAGCCCATTCTCAGGTTTTTGTCAGACAAGCCAAATCTCAAAGAGAGGAAGACAAAAGGTGATTTCTCAGTAAGCACAGAGGAGGTAAAATCAGCTTTGAGGCAGCACTTGTTAAGCAGGTTGTGCTCTATCACCCAGGAGTTGCTGAACAAGCATTACCCTGATATTTGTATGAAGTTCATTGCTGGTTTGAACTGTGAAGATAAAAACTGCAGAGGTTACCATAAGCCCTTGTTGCGCCATGAAGCAAGGACAATAGTGCATTGTAAAATGCATCTGGTGGCAATAAATGGACTGCTCTTGGAGGCCATGCACACTTTCCCTAAAGAGCTGCTGTATCATTGCAAAAGCTTTGAGGACATTTTGACTGCTGAAAAAGATGCATCCTGCAAAGCTCTCATAGACATGTTTTTTCCTTGTCATTTTCACTTGAGAATACTGTCTGAGAACCCAAAGGCATGCAAAGAAATACTGGAATTCAGTAACTTTATTTCCAAACCCTGTAGAGCAGCATTGAAGGACTACATCACATTTAAGTTTGAAAATGAAGACACTGCAGCTAGAAGAGAATCAACTGACTTGTGGCTACATGTCATGCAAGTTTTCATCTTATCCTCGGGATATCCTGAAGAATTTGAGGAACTTCTTTTTAAGGAAGAGGATGATTATAACAAAGAGCTAAGCTTTGCTTTGTCAAAGGTAAAAAACTCCACAAAGAGTAAAGGCCAAGGGGGAAAGGTCAAAGGAATAGAGGGCAGACATGGGATGTTGCTACCTGACAAAAATGTTGAAAATGCAGGGAGAACACACTTGTGCTTCATTCGACTTCTTGAAAATTCACTGGAGCAATTCTATGTTCATAAGAACCCAGAAAACTGTAAAAGGTTTTTTTTCCGTTTCATGAATGTCCTCATCAAGAAATGCACGAGATACCTGATTCCAAGCATAGGAAATACAGTGATGTTGTTGGAATTCCAGTATATCCTCTGTTGTGCTGTCCTGATGCGTCTCTGCAAGAACATGACTCTCTGCTTTCCAAAGAGTTACATTGCTCTCATTCACTACTGGGAGTTTTTGTTCAGAAGCAAGGACCGTAACAGAGAAGTTAAAGACACTTTTTCAATTATACAGGAGTATAGACCAAGGGATCCATATGTATCTGTACAAACTTTCCGATTTCATCTCTGTTACCTAGCAGAAGTTTTGTGTGGAGTTAATGGAAATTTCACTGTCCTTCTGGATGCTTTTGAGAATCATGATTGCATAACTTCAGGGGAGGCTGAGCGAACTGTAGTGCTGTGCTTAGTGATGTTACTGAATGCTGACCAGGTGCAGAATTCTAAATATAGATTCCTCTTAGGCCAGCAATTCTCTGAAATCAAAGCAATGCTGAAATCAATGAGAAAAGACTCTCCCTCTAAAGTGCCTGGAAGATTGCTGAGGATTGTGGAGCAAGTGAGTGGTGCTACACATATAAGAGAAATTGCTGCAGGCCTGCAAGAGCTTCTGGCAGAGCGTGATGAAGAGCACTTAGTTGACTGCCGATGGAGGTGGGACTCTGTGTACACTCAGGGGCATCCACCCATACGGGGCATCCTGTATGAACGGATAAACCTTGACAGGTTTATGACCTCTTTGGATAAGACTGAATACACTGATGAGCTAGAAAAGGAACTTGGAAGGGTTCATTGCTTAGAGGACCAAAAGGATCCCCTGGAAGTGATTGCACTCAGCAAGCAGCAGAAACAGGAACAGAAAGCATCCGCTCAACGCCAGCTGCGTCGTGTCTTCCATTTCGTTTCTCTGTGCATGAAGTGGAAAAGGAAAGCCTGCTCCAAAGCTGAGCTTGTTGCAATGGAAGGAGAGGAGTTCTTATCGGAGATCTTCAAAAAAGCAGATATTGACCAAACCCAGTGTGACCTCTGTGGAGACAAATTTAATCAGACCTCTGAGAACTATTTCAGCCGGTCAGAAAGCATGGAGGCAGACACTTCTGAAGCTGTGACACCAACAGAAGTTGGTGGGGAACAAAAATTGCATGCAGAAGGCAATGCAATTTCAGTGGCCAGTGATGCTTACTTAGAGCACAGAAACACAGAGAAACACAGGAATAATGATGCTGCCTACAAATACTATGCTGACTTTTTCAGAAGACAGATAGATCCGATAATACATGATGGTCTGGAAGTAGTGGAGGCCATTAGGGAACAGACTTACACCCAAGACCATTTAGCATATAAAGAAGGTTCCAACTTACGCCAGAGAAAAATCCAAGAGAATATTAAGAAGATTTCAGATGCAGTAGAGGAAATCTATGAGAGAAAAGCCTGGGCTAAAGGTAGGACCTTTCCAGCTTTCTTTTTAATAATTTTTCATTTGAGGCCAAACTGCTAGACCTGACAGAGCTCTATTTGAAAATCTTAATGTGGTCAAGAGAAAGGTATTTCCAGGTATTTCAGGTAGCTGAGGAAAAGAGAAGCTGAGATGCTTGAACATATTAGCAAATACATTATCCCCTCTTCCAAAAATAATACATCAGTACAGATAAAGTGAATAGTGGTTAATTTTAGTAAGTAGTAAATTTTAACTAGACAGTCAGACATGTTGTGTTCTCTGCATTTATACAGTCTTAGAGAAACCCATTATATTAGACCAAGTAATTGTTACTAATTTTTCCACTATTTCCTATTTGCTTTAGTTCTGCCAGCCATAATAATTTGGGTATACAGGAGCAGAGTGTCTGAGTAGATGGGAGTCTTTGGTTAAGGATATCTGGCTAGTCCACCCTTGAACTAGTAATTTTTCTGGGTCTGAAGTGGATACTTAACTACAAATCTGTGGGGTGTCGCGCAGTCAAAGGCAGCCCTGGTATTACAAAGTCCTGTAAATTAAGGTGCTTAAGAGATGCATATGCTTATATTTGATCCCCTCCCAGGCTTTAAGTATTTTTCTATGCTGATTTTCACAAGCAAAATTAAATCACTGAATGAGTGGCCTAGGAGTGAAACTGTTTGGGATACTTGCTGTGGGAAAATGACATCTTCAATCAAAACATTGTTTCTGGCTTTAGTTGTAGAAACCCACCAACTCTGTTGAGCTGTCAGTTTGCCTGTGATGTCTGACAGTAACACAAAACTATAATTGATGTGTTCATCAGCCCTTATCAGTAAAATACATTAAATTAGCAGGTTGTGATTTTCATGTGTAACCTTTTATTCCTAGTGGAAAGCTTTTATATATATGGATGAAGTCCATAAGGTTTTCCTTATAATTTAGTTGCTTTTCTGCTCAATAAACCATTATAGTAATTAATATAATAAATGTAGTAGCCTTAATGAGGTAATAGTTTATTTAGTTATGACAAATGCTTGATGAATGTTACCTTGTTCTTCTACTGAGTGAAAATATATTTACAGAAGTTATTTGCCTTTGAGATTACATTTCTCTTGCTTTTTTTCAAGCATTTTTCAAGTCCTTAATGGTGCAGTTAAGCAAGGGCTGCAACACTTACACAGTGTTTGACTTACATAGTTTCAGTGGGTTAATGAATGCCAGGAACTTCAGTACCCAAAAATACATAAACCAGAATGTTTTCAGGAGTTTCCGGTGTACCTTCAAAGGGACAGCAACAAGGATGGAGAGCTTCTCCTATGACAATGCTAGTAATGTTGATTGGAATAGGGAGCAATACATAGAGCATCTTCATCCCCAGTTGTGAATTTGCCTGCACATGAGATCATTGGTGACTGAGGCTTCTTGCTGTGCAGTGTCATCATCCAGAGAGCTGCGTTGTAACTTCATTTTGTGCTTTGCTTTTAACTGCTGTCCCATCTCTCAGCTCGTGTTCTCACATAATGTTAATTGTGCTCTGTTTCAGCGGAAGAAATAATAACCAAACATGCTAACAAATTGGTTGCCACCATTGATGAGGCTTGTAAGTGGCTGAAGAAGATGGACTCTCATAGGATAAAAGAAGAAGGTATGTTTTCAAATTACACAGGTTTCTGTGCCCCCTGGAGGAGACTGTTCTGGAATAGTCTCTTAGGATCATTTAGTCTCCAAGTTAGTAGTGTTGTGGATATTCGCTTACCACCTAGGCAACAAGAAACCAGCACCTCCATAGGGGCACTCTGGAAGACATGAGTTAACCAGTCTTTCCTCTGTGGCTCTCCAAAACAGAGCATGAGCCTCAAAGCTGGTTGCGGGGTGGCCAAAATGGAGTGAGCCTTCTCCTCTGGCCCTCAGTGGATCCCAGCCTGCGTAAAGTGTGCGCACACATGCAACTGCACATCCACATGTAACTATAGCTCAGGTGCAGTCTTCAGGATAGAAACTTGGTCAGGGAAGACAGAAGTGAAACTGTCTTTATTTTCACCAGTAAGATAGTGCTGTTTCTTAACTCTTGCTGTGACAGTGCATTTATGGATAGCCTGGATCCCAGTTCTTGGAAACCAGCTTCTTAACAAAACCAATCCTTCACTTGCTTTTAAGAGTTCTGTGGAAAAATACTAGGTGCAGTGGATTTTCCTTTATTTTCACTTCTGTTTCACTTGGTTTCACACCAGGAGTAGCAGTACATCAGTGCAGTCTACTGCATCACAGACTTCTGAGGACAAGTTTTAAGACTTCATTGTGCCTACCTCTATATTTAAGTTTGTATTTAGGTAGTGGGGATTGTAACAATTGCATAAAAAAGCAGCAATGAAATGATCAGGCTTACAGACTGTACTATATGTAAAGCATTAAAGTAGCTCTATTTTAGAGAATTTGATGCTGATAAAGGCTTTGTGATACACCTTCCTGTTTCAATAAAGTAGCTGAAAAGACTACATGGGAGTGCTGTCATAGTCTCACAAGCAACATTATAGTCTGTCTTTAAAGTTGGTAAGCAAAAGTATAGTCTGCTGAATCTGAACCTTGAGAGAGGAGAGATGTAGTTCTTAAAGGCAAAAGCACTAATAATAGAAACAGATTTTCAGTGTAAAAATTAATTACTACTGCAGTAGGTGGCTTAGCAGTCTCTGCTTCCTAGTGAAGCTCTGAAGCACAATGTCATATTAAGCCAGATACTTCTAGAAAATGATTACGCACACATTAAGGTATATTGCTGACATATAAAATAGCAAAGACATAGCTTGTCGTGTTATTAAGAGGAGAAGGTGTTGGGGTTTTTCATTCTGCATTAATTAATTGTTTTTAATGTAGGCTGTGTGCATGAAAGAGACTTGGAAAACGAAGTGGAAGATGAAAGCATGGCTTTTGAAGAACTTGTCAATAAAAAACCCTCCAGAAAAAAAGGAAGATGGGGGAAATGATAATTAGAAAAAATACTCAGGTTGTTACTCTGTGTTGTTAACAATCGAATGTTAGAATAAAAAAAATTGTTAAAAAGAAAAATAGAGTGATGGGGTCAGAAATGCGAAGAGTCTGAAGAAAAAGAGCAACTTATGCTAGTGTCTTTTTATCACTTGTATTATGTCAGAACAATTGTTTATATGGTGATGATATAATTGTTAAAACCTATGACAGGACAGATTTCTTTTCAAATCTATGTGGTAGCTTGAAAGTAAAAAAAAAAAAGCCAAAGAAACAAGTAGGAAAAAATAATTGGTTTTGCCTTATCTCAGGGGTATTTTTCCACTCAGTCATCTTTGTCTTCTTCCCTGTTAATTTACACCATCACTTTCTGAGGTGGAATGCTCCAAAAAAATTGAAGGGTAGTTCCTCTGATTTTAAAAGGTTTTAATCAGTGTTCTTGGGTTACCATTGTAAGCCTGCTGTGTTCTGAGTAGTCTTTTGTCTAGAAATTTTTGAGTCTTCAGGTGAGGTACTTACCTATTTTCTATTTTTATAGACAGAAACAGTAATTTCTACAAACATTCCTATTTTTACAGTGTACATACTTCTAATCAGATAGATACAAAAGTTACGGATTTCTTCTATTTGATCAAGTTTTGATATAAAATGTCATCTGTACATATTGAAATAGATAATCTTTCTTTAAAAGAGTACTGTGCATTTTAAATGTTTTGTAAGTTTTAATTGTTAAAAGACTTTTTGTAATGTGTAAAAGTTTTTATAAAACCTGTAAGATTTGTCAAATCACTTGGTCTTGTCTTATTTTTTGAATGCTTTCTGAAAGCCGTATGTGACCAATGGCCTGAGTGAGATTTACAGGTTGGGTCCAGAATATCAGTTCATACCAATGCTGGTTTACTTCTGGGATTTCACTGCCTCCAGTGTACTCTAGTCTCCTTTAGCAACATTTAAAATTAATGTGTTTGAATGTTAAACATAATTAGGTAGAATATTATTTAGTTGTTGGAGTATTTTGTCTTGAAAAGTGAGCCACTTTGTATACATAACAAATTGTTTTGATAATTACCTTTTGCCAAAAGCTTAACGTTTTATTACCCTCAATGTCATGGAAGTGGGACATTTTACATGGGTAAAAATGAAATGCTGCTGTAGAATGGAGCAACGTGGGCAGGACTAATGGTTATCTATTGCATTGTAATTGCTGTTGTCTGCCAGAAAACTCTTCACTAAGTGCTGTGTCTTAAAGAAGCCTCGTTGCTTAAAGTAGTTTAAAATAGTACATTGATGAAGTCTAATGCTAGTCACTTTCAGTATATACAAATAATGAGTTAGGGAAGTTAGATTATTAATACAATTTCCTTGTTTACTATAGTGATATGTATTTTGGATTTAAGGTTACTCCAAAAAATTTTCCTGGTAAGTTTCTCAGCTTGAGTATGTACATTTGTGGTAGTAAATGCCACCTAAAGTTTTTAAAGACAAGTACAATTTAAAAATCCTTGCTGGCCACACTTTAAAGATCTAGTGATCATACTTTATCTCTAAGGAAAAAATGAAGCTTTAAAAACATGATTGCAAAACACCAAGCAAAGAGAACACAAACAAGGAGTTATATTGCATCAAGAACTTCACCTCGCATACCCTTCCTTGCTGTGGTTCAATACAAACCATTGGTTATTCTCTGACTTTGAGTCAGCACTCCCAGATGGAACTTACTTGAAAAGCATGTGAACTATTGACTCCTAGCTGGAAGTATTGGCAATTCAAATTCCAGGGCTTATACTAGTTTCAGAGCTATACTAGGCCAAGATTTCAGTAGTGTTCAAGCAGAGATGGGAAATCTAGTTGGATCTGGACTCCAAACTCTGTGCATTAAAGGTTTTTTTTTTCCCTATGGTGGTATGTGTAAATTCATCTTTCTTTTCCATGGCAGTCTCTTAAAATAATAACGATCTGTGTGCATTAATTAGATATCAGATATATACATAAATAGAGATATGCTTGTGGTTTTGGGGGTTTTTTTCCCTTTATTTAAAAATCCTTCTCACCCCTGGTGGTAACTTCAGCAGTCTCACACCAGCTAATGCCTTTGACTCAAAGGGCTTAAGACCCATGACAGTTGCCTTGCTATGTGCAAGATGCATGTTGCACCTTGTAGCTGAGTAGTGGATGCAGGCTGTCAAGCTAATCCACCCACTTCTGCCTGTCTAAGCCATGTTGACTGGAAAAGCATTTAGAAAAGGCTTCCAAAGTACAAAAACTGGTGATTAAAGTCTCTGTTCTTGGTGGTACAAAAATGACACCTAAATGAACAGGAACAAACTGTATACTGTAGTTGGAAGACAGGGGTGTGGTCTCAAAGATGACAATTCTCCAAATTCCAAACCTGTCAAGAAAAAAATACCTTGCTTGAACCTTGTATTTATACAAAGGGCTTTGTGGCAAGTGATGGTTACTTTCTACCTTTTAGCTTTTTTCCTCTTAAAAGCCTCATTGATTGCCCACAGTTTTATTCCAAAACACTTTCCTAGCTGTTAAAATGTTTTGCTGAGTCAGCTTTTCTAAAACCCCCTGTTGTTGTTGTTTGTTTTTTTTTTAACTATTTGCTTTCATTCCTAAAAGGAAACCTTTTGCCTTTATGCTTACTGAAAATGTAGGAGGGAATAAACTGCCTTAGCTCATTGTAAATAAAATAGAAGGTTTTTCTGCCAGCAATCCCCATCACATTTTTTGCTGAAAACTGATTATGAAGCACCCTCCCTTATATGAAAGGGGACCATAGCTGTTGCTGCTGAGCTTCTACCTGTGTTGTGGAAGCATTCAGTTTTCATGAAGACCTTCACACCTGCACTTCAGTGCCTCTGGGTCTTCCTGTGTATTAGATTTCTTGCACTTGTACTGTTCAGGCTTTGTGTTAGCACGTAGCTCAAATGTACTAGCAAAGTATCAGGCAACGCCCATACTCTTGTTTATCCTGGTGTAGTACATGTTAGAAATTTTTTATGTCTTCCCTAATTCACATACATTAGAGTTATTGTTACAGGAAGTGGAAAAGTTTATGTATTTTATTTTGTAGTTTTCATGGCTACATTCATATTCAAAGATTTCTGACTATACTCAGTTGATGTGAAACACTTAAAGTGTCAGATACTTCAGCAGCAAAGCTGCTGAGTTTTCAGGATAATAGCCATTACAAAAAAATACTCTGTGAGATTTAGAGAATATATTTCAGTTTGCTGATGTGGACTTGTAATACTGCTTCCAGCCTGGGATCTAAGCATATGCGTAGGTTCTGTATGTTTGTGTTGTCATCTTTGCTGTGTTGATCTTACCGTGTTGCAAGAAGATGGGTTGTAGTGTCTCAAGTCTTTGTTACAATCATTCTGTGCTGCTTGGTGTGTAGAAATAGTGCTTGGAAAGAAACTGGTAGACTCTTAGGTACCTTCAGCCCATCTTCTATTTAGTTGGCACCCAAAGTTTCATGGTTTAAATAAAGATGCAATTGCTAGTGATTCAAATCTTCAATACTCCAGACATTTAAAAATGACTTTCATTTGGCTTCTGATCAACCAGTTTCTAACTTATGCAGTGTAAACCAGTGCTGATATTTAAGTAAACAGTTGACAGACTTAGGTTACCTCTAAGACATTCTGCAGGCAAATAAATGACAGCAATGCCAGACGTAGCTTTCAGTAAATCTTGTAAAAGTAAATCCTTGTAATTCCTTCTTGTGAAGAGGTGAGTAGGTCTTTACTGAAGCTGTGTCACTCCTTCAGTGCTGGATGCGTCTCTGTGAACTGTTCACTGTAATGTTTGCTCGTCTTGTGCTAGACATACTGTATGAAATCATGGGATGAGGTTTTTTACCTTTGAACCATCAAGGGTACATTTGAGGTGTTTAAAAATTGGCTGCTTCCCTAGAAATAGGTTAGAGCAAAACACTGCAAGGAGGTTTGCTACTGACTTGCTGTGACAGCTGAAGTACTCTGAGCTTTGAGTTACTCCAGTGTTAGTGATGCCCTAGTCAAAAGCAGTATCTTTGTAGTTTGGGGCACTTGCCATGCATCATACAGCCTTCTCTCAGGAAGTTTACATTTCTAGTCATTTCAGCCAGAGTCCCCAAAAGAAGAACCCTTGAACATGGAGCTGCTTAAAAGGACTCGTGCAGAAGTAGATGAAGTGTCTTATCTCCTGTGGAGTAAGCTGAGTACCTCAGTATATGATATGGAGCACATGAGCACTGAACTGAGAGGCTCTGGTGATCTAAAAGAGTGTTTCAGATGTCAAGTGCATAGTGACATGACCTTTAAGGCAAGGAATGCTGTTTCGCAGTCCATCCCCAGGATGATGAAGCTGCTCCTGCCCTTGTGTCTATTCAATGCAGATATTAATATTCCTTACATAACTCCATCAATTTTTAGAGTTGGGAGATTTTAGGAAGTCTGGTACTTTGCAATCTTATAATTTTTCATTGAGAAGTGCTGGCGTTAGTAGTGCTGTTGTACTTATTTGAACCATGATTGTCAGGCAGATATAAAGAATTTAGATAGTTTTAACAAATCATGGAGAAACACATTTTCCACAGTTCCTGGATAAAACATGGTCAAGTTTCTTTAAATGTGCACTTTGAGCCATTAACAAAGAAATCTTTGTTGGAGACCTGCACAAAGAACAGAGGGAGCAAGCGGAAGTGAGTATGTAATGAAAAAACCTGTCAGTTCCAAGTCACTCTATTTGTGTCTGTGAATAGCATACCTGGGGAACTCTCCTTTTTTCTTGACCCTGTCACTTCAAATGTGTCTGCTTTTCAATCCAGTCCTGTTCAGACAAGATTAAACACTAGCTAATAGGATGGAATTTCTCAATGTTACATTAACAGTTTCTCACTATTCTTTACTTTGTCTTGAAGAGTCATTGTTGTTTAAAAATGAATAAACCTTTGGTGAAATGAACAGTGCCTGTGAACTTTGGTATTCAGAGCTCTGTGCTCCACAGC